ACAAGAGCAACAGCAAGAAGCGATAACTGAGACAGACAACAGCTTACAGGGAGATGTATTTGAACAAAAATACCACAGCACTGAGTCATTATCAGAAACAGAATTGAAAGAAGAGCCACACACCCAAACAGAGACAGAAACGGATGTACTGGCACAGAATCAGAAGCAGGTGGAAAAAAATGTTGGGACATCGGACGAACTGGACGGTGAAATAGTACAAATAGACTCAGAACAACACATTGATTCAATTGTAGAAGCAGAAGCCATAAAACTGTGTTCACCTGAATACGTCCAACCACAAGAAGGTGCTGACTCAAAGTTGGTTGACACAGAGAGTGAGGCAGAAATACCAGTTTCAAACGACACAGTGACGCAGTCAAGTGAAGCACTTGCTCAGTGTTCAGAGAAAGTGGTTAACGCAGCAGCATCTGAACCTACAGAGGAAGAAGGAGAAATTCTGACTGCACACTCAGGGGGTGACAATGATGAGACACAAGCAGAGGAAACACCAACAGAAACTCAGACGAAAGAGGAGACTATGGACTCCACTGAACCTTCAGCACAGGCTGAGGCAGTGAGTCCCACCGCCGAGCCTGATGGGGAGACAAGTTCAGTAGAAGTGAGTGCCTCTGAAACTGCATCTGAACCACCAAAGATCCAGGGCACTATGGGTGGGGTGGAGGAGAAAGAAAGCCCAGGAGATGTTCAAGAAGACACTGTAGGAGAGAACGACGTCTTCATTTCTACTGAACCAACAGACTCAAATACTGACAGTAACGCACATGTCCAAGACACAGAGTCTCACTGTCCGAAAGACCAGACTGAGCCAAATAACAGCGGCCTGACACAAGCCTCTGGGCGCCGCAACAGCCGGTCTTCTGGGGATTTCTGTGTCCGCAAGTCATCCAGCTCCCGTGGGTCCAGGTTAGGGCGTAGGCTCTCTGAAGATCTCTTCACCGTGCCACAGAAAACTAGCCAATCAGAATCTATCCCTAATCAGCCAGAGGTTAAACGCACTGAATCGCAGTCCAGTCCTGGAGCTGTAAACCCAACCCAAACTCCACCTGACGTGACTTCAGAAGTCACCTCGTCACTGCCTGCAGGAGCGGCTGAGAGGACAGAGGCACAGCAGGAGCAGAAGCCGCCCGACCCCCCTAAACGTTTTGGTCTCTTCCGTAGACTGAGAGGAGACCAGCCTAAAAAGGCCAAGGCAAAGGGGGCGGCCAAAATGCAAGTCCCCAAAATCTTGATCCAAGACTTCAGTGATGGAACTGGGATGGAGAAACCGGTTGAGGAAGAGGAGGAGGAGGAGGAGGAGGAGGAGAAACTGAGCTCCAGGGAAAGGAGGAGGAGGCGGCGGGAGCAAGAGAGAAGGGAGAAAGAGGAAGAGAGGTTGAGGAAGAAGAAAGAGAAGGAGCTGGAGAAGGAGAAGGGGCGAGAGAGGAGGAAACCACAGACGAGGGGGAAAAGTTTCCAGGTGCAAAGAGAGAAAGGGAGCAGCGACGAGCCCGCAAAGACTGCATCACAGAAGCTTAAAAATGTTTCTTATGCTGAATCTTACTTTTGACAAAATAACTCTGTTAGTTATCGGCTCTGGAGGGATGAAGTGTTTCACTGAGTGCCTTATTGCCTTATCCAGATCCTTTCTTACTGTCCTTTCTGTTGAGGCACTGGTTTCACTTCCACGTTGCGCAGAGATCCTAAATATTTGTCATACTTGAACCTTTTTACGTGTAAATAATAAATGTTTACATACTTTTGAAAGATATATTTTCTTTTATTTAGAGGAGCTTTTTTGTTGCACCTTGACCTCAAACAGAACAGGCTCTGAACAAAAAATAAACAGGAAGTGCTTCATGTCCAGTTTCACATAATCCCATATTTTTAAGTCCACCATTCACATTATAGTCCAGTAAAAATGTTGGAAAACACCAGCAGTTACTGTTCTGTACACTATATTTGCATATTTTGGTCCATGTAAAAAAAAAAAAAAAAATCCTGTACAACACTTTCACAAGCTTTCAGGTCAGTCCACTGTCACTCCGCTTCATTATACATCATCCTCACTGTCACTGGCCAACACTTCCTGATTTGTCACTGGTTGAGTGCTCATCTGAGAAGATGGAGGAAGCACGGATCCAAAGAACAAGGAACAGAACTGGGAGGGCAAAAAACAGGAAAAAATAGATGAGAATGTTTTATTTTAAAGGTGAAATACAAGTTTTTTCTGCAAGTCATACCCAGCCAATTGTAAAGTCCTGACATAATTTACCAGTACAAGGTCTCTTTTTTTTAGATCTGACACAAAAATCCTCGATTTAGCACGTAATCTGCACTCGTGTCCTTCACAAGGGTTTGTCTAATTAGAGCAGATAGGATCTCTTTAACTGGAGTAATCTTTTAATCAGTACAGGTTGTTTGACATTCATTGTGTACATTGTGAACTCACACATCAATATGACAACAGGTGGTATGTACTGACTGCAATATGTCTTTGAAAAGGAGATTTAAGTACAGCTATACAGCCGTTAATCAATTCTATCTCATCTCCTTCTGCTATATATTTATCTACCAGCTTTTTCTATTTTTGTAAGAGCCTTTTAATTAGAAATTTAAACCATACCTTCTTGTTAGGGGGTTTGGATGAATCAGCTGCGTCATCTTCCTCTTCCTCCTCCTCACTGTGTAGCCTCGTCCTGTTATTGGCTGCGGCAGGCTGTTTTGAACATGTGGAATCAGCTAATGGGGGTGTGGGCGGACCTGTAGCCGAGGGACCTGGTGCCATACTGGTATCCATGGCGATGAGGTAGGAGTCTATGTCGTCATTCATGAAGTCATCAGCAGGGGGCGGAGGTGTGAGCGCTCTGAGGAGACGGAGAGTTGGAAATACATGATATGAATGAGAAAGAGAAGCTGCCTTCACTGCCTTTTAGTAAAATTAATTCAGTAACATTTTGCCCTGCGATTGTGCTGCTCCTCTTTACCCAGTCAACATTATATTGAACATGCAACATGTGTGACCATTTCTCAGTATTCAAGGTATTGCCTCTAATGTATGAAATAAAACATGTAACCCACTGGTAGTTATGCCTGAATAGAGTATATCTCCTAAACTTGGGTTCACTGTCTATCAATATGGTTGTTTAGGAAATCTTTGGCATTTATCGTGCAGAGAAGCCACGACAACTGGTGGATGAGGACATAAATACAGACACTTTTTTAAGTGTCATTTACCTTCTACAAGTGTAAGTGTTATTTTCAGTATGTTCTGCCATTGCCCTAGACTGGCTGACAAGACAACTCAGCCCCACACCGTTTTATGGTGTTCAGCTTTGTTTTAATGTTACCGTCTAGAGTTGTTTTTACGGTGGTTGGGGTCATCAGAAAGTGTGGCCAGCACAAAGTTCCCCTCCAGGACACTGTCCGTTACCGAAAGCACTACAGGGCTGACACACACACAAACACAAACACACACAATGTCAGTACATTATAGTAACACATGTGATCAATTAACATCTGTATGTGAGTATGCTTACCTGCCCGGTTCATCAAAGTACATAGAAATAGGGAGACCAGTAGATTCTGCAAACACTAACAAACCCTGGAGGAGAGATGACAAAAACTCCTTAAAGAGTAAATCAATGCAAGAAGTCTTTATTAAAAAACATAATTTTAACTGTCTACAAACTGCCATCAGTATCATTTGCTCTCTCTTTGGTCAATTTCCCAGTCTTCTCCCTCCTAACTAAACCTCCTATTCTTTCATGTCATCCCTCTCTTTGTCCTCTGTCTCACCCGTAACTCCTTCAGACAAAACGTAACGCTGTTGTGGATTTGGACGGCAAAATGGTCAAACTCATCTGAAGCCAGACACAGCTCTGTCAGCATGGCCTTGGACTGGTCTGAGAGAGAAACAGACAGAAAAGTAAAAATGAGCACTTCCATGTAATAATCAACTTTATATTCTTATATTCTATTGCTATTACCTTGCAGAGTTAGGATCAACTACTGGCTAATGGCTGCTGAGACTACACAGTGTAATTCTGCTGTTCTGCCTTTCTGCCACACAAGGGCACCACTGGTTCATATCTATCCTCTTTCCCCTTTTTTGCATTATTTTCTCTATGTCAGTAACAGCAACATAATGCCAACTTTGCAATGCTACTATACTTCATCAATCACTCATTATGGCTTATGAATTAGTAAATATGATTAAACACGCTCAAGTTTATTTTTCTATTTTGTTTTCTCTTCTGTTATGGAAAGTTAATGCTGTATTGTCTGAATATGCCATTTTAAACTTCTGTATATTTGTCATAAAAAACTGACCCTGATTATAAATAAGTTCTCTCAGACTAAAACGTTGAACTACTTGATTTTAAATTACTTAAATATTCGATGTAAGATTAGGAAGATTTATATAAAATAAACAGTGAATTATGACTTGTAAAAAACAAGTTTTACAAATATGTAGGTTTGTAGCTTCTGGGTGTAAAAAAAACAACAAAAAACGACACCTTCTTCCTCCACATGGTTCCTGACCCACATCCGCTCATCACTCACTGACACAGTCACTTCTTCCAGAGAAGGAGGGAAGTGCACAACTGTGTCCACCAGCAGCCTGAGAGCAAGGGAAAAAGAAAAATCGAGCTGTTAGTGAGGAAGGAAAAAAATATATGAAAAATAAAACTGACTACTTGTGGGGTTGGACCAGTGTTACAGTTTGCTTATGTAGTTGACAATAGCCACAAGGCAGGTTCCTCTCTGACAACAGCTCAAAATTTCCCTTTAACTGTATTTATTTAATCAACAAACTGTAGTCTAAAATATGTATATCAGCCTTAAAAATTAAACTACAAATTACAAGACAATATGAAAGCCAGATACAAATGTAGAAAGACAAAGAACAACTGTCAGATTTATATTCTTTTTATTAGAAAGAATGTAGTGTTAATACCTGGGATGGGATCTGAATACATTGGCATAGCTGTCCTTATCAAACACTGCCTGTAAGCTTTCACTGTCCTGGAAAGACAGGTTATGTGTCTTCAGGAGACCTGCAAAGAAAATACCAAACACGTTAACTACTATGCAATGAATGCATGATATGCTACAATGAATGAAACATGTGTCAGTGTTTATGAGAGGTAATTATGTAAAGCATCGTGAGTCAGTGAGAAGGAAGTGAAGCACTGATACCGTGTTTGCAGTGCAGGGTGAAGGTTAGGCGGTTCTTCTGCTCGTCCAGAACAATGTCACACTTTTCCACTGTCTTCTCCAGAGACGCTAGAGACCTAAATACGGCCTGCACACTCTGACTCGCACATAGAGGAACATAAGGGAGATTAAATATAAATACACACAAGGGGACAGGCCCATGATAATATGCACTGAAACATTCTGATATTAACTCAATAAAGCCAACACTATACACTAAAACTTGAAAATCAAATGTTTGGTTGCAGACACTCTCTTTAAACTTATTCATGCACAACTGTTAAAACAAGGAAGCACAGAGGTTTTGCAAAATCTGCATAAAGATAACATCAACGCCACTTCACGGTAGCAATATGACAGGAAAGACAGCGTTTGAAGTTGAGTGCAGAAAAAGAAACTCTGATGCTCCTTAATCAGGCTCTGTTCTTAATCATTAATAAATGATGTGATTTGCAACCATGAGTTAATGGAAAGGCTGTGGAGAATCAGCTAATATAAAATATATATGGTGTGGATGAAGGAGTCCCTGAGCTAATCTCATAGGGATTTGGACATGTACATATTACAAAAAAAAGGCACAGATAAATATAATAAAAACTGTGCAATGCATTAGAAGAACCATAGCTCATCTCTTTCTCTCAGCACACCTTTATTGCAATCTTGCAGCGGAAGGAGTGCCCACTCGGGGTGGTGTACCTGCACAAGAAATGGGAGGGGAAGTTGGTTTAAAGCTCCTAGAAATGACACACACACTCACATACATCACACACACACATGCCACCTGCTAAAGAAAGTGGTGCGAACAGGAAAAAAACCAAAAAGCATTGCGCCCGGGAGGAAGGAGTTGACAGGACGCAGGGGACAAGCTAGCAAGAGGAGAGAGGAGGAGATGAGAGGGAGGAGAGAGAGAACAAAACCTATCAGTATTATTCATTTGCGTAAAGTGTGCACCAACAGGAAGCAACAACTCTTAATGCATGGCAGTGCGTCAGAGCAGCTCACCCCATCTTCCTGCGGCTCCACATACAGCTCATCACCGATCCGGGACAGAGAATGGATGGCTTTGGCCAGCACTGGACGGTACACACACACACACA